CCAAAGGTCCATCTAGCCCAGTATCCTGTCTACCGACAGTGGCCAACACCAGGTGCCCCAGAGAGGGTTGACCGAAGACACGATCAAGCAATTTGTCTCCTGCCATCTCTCTCCAGCCTCTGACAAACAGGGGTCAAGGACACCATTTTATCCCATGTCTAATAGCCTTTTATGGACCTAACCCCCATGAAATTATCTAGTTTCTCTTTAAACTCTGTGGGGGTATGTCTACACTACCCCGCTAGTTCGAACTAGCGGGGTAGTGTAGACATACCCCCAGAGAGTCTTAGGGTATGTCTTTCTATTAGTAGATAGTGCATTCATTTTAATTATTGAGCACCTAGAGTGGCTAACATGCCATGTAGTCAAACTTATAGTCTATGTCTAGACTACAGGGTTTTTTCGAAAAAACTTCACCTGCATCTAGACTGCCGCCATGTTCTTATGAAATTAAATCAAAAGAACATGGCGGGTTTTTTGACAGCAGTAAACTGCATTTTATGAGGAAGAATTCTTTTTTTCGAAAGAGCTCTTTCTTGACCGCAAACAGGGCTTTTTCGAAAGAGAGCATACAGGTTGCCTGGGTGCTCTCTTTCAAAAAAAGTATCGCTTTTTCGAAAAAGCTGTGTCTATCTAGATGATCTCTTTTGAAAGAAGCTTTTTTGAAAGATTCTTTCATAAAAGCTTCTTTCAAAGAAGCGTGTGCTCTAGATGTACCCATAGTAGTGGTGGTGGTGGTGGGGTGTGTGTGTGTGTGAGTGTGTGTTCCAAAGCTGGCTTGAAATCCTTATTAAAACACTGGTGGCTGCTGAGCCTTGTCTACACTAGGGCTCTCTTAATTAACTCCCTTAATCATTAGTAGAGCTTACCTAATAGCAGCAATTGTGGGAAATTTTAGGGAATTAACTTAGTGTAGACAAACACTAATTGTGCCTATGCCATATAATATTTTGGTTTTAAAGTGAAAATGTAGTTACCTAATTTTCTATTTTTCCAAGTTAGCAAACATACAGTGTGCTAATAATACATGGACTGGCTGCATTTTCTTAGAGATGGACAAAACATGCAGAGGTTAATTAACTCTGACCAGAAAACCAACAACACAATGGTTGTATAAATCCTCTTATGCAATATTCATATCTCTGAATGAAGATAAAATCTGTCATAGGAAGCTTGTGTTGATGGTTTAAAACATCTTGATAGTCATTCAAGAGCAAATCATTCAATAATTGCTAAAAAAAGTCTTGGTGGTTACACGAGATGCCCTGCTGGGAGACCTGCAATTAACATCCAATTTCTTCAGAAATCTAGAAAACTCTTATTATACCTTGACTAATTGTGGTTCCCATTTCTCACATTTCTCATTTAGTATGTCTCACATAATTAGAAAACATAGTCATTGGAAGTCATTAGTGATTCTTAGTTTACTTCCACTCTTTTAATTGCTTATTATAGATGTTCTAAAATACTGAAATTTCATTCCAGACATATATATAACCCTCTGCGTAACTGAGCTTCAAAACATTCTTTGACTCTTAGAAACAAAGATTCTGGTCAGATAGGAATTTGTAGTTCAAAAAAGCCAACTACTTCCTAACAATGAGATACCCATGTACCTACTTGCAGGTGATTATGGTGTTAACCAAATCTATTTTTCCAAATCTCATAAGTCTGGAGATCAATCTTTCTTCATTAGCATCACCAGTTATTCACCATGAGAGTGGTACTGCTGATCAACAGAACACACTATAAACAACACAACAATTTAAAACAGGAAGTAAAATATTTTGTTTAGTTGTCAGGGAATTTAGACTAGCAAAATAACTGATGAAGAAATATGACCAGGACACATGGCCAGGACAATGGCATTTACACTCTACTTGTTGTGATTCTTTCTACTTTTTAAGGGCTATTTCATGACCAGAAGTTTTGAAGACCATCCTATTTGAAATACACTTTTCTTACCAGGGTAATGTATCCTAGCACTATGCTAGGACATTGTTTTTAAACTCACTTGGAAGAAAGAGTGCCATTCACTGGAATCACCAACCCCATTTCTTATATTAATTAGGTATTCCTAACAGGACTTCCATCCAAATACCAGACCATCCCAAACCTGCCTAATGTATGAGATTTGATGAGAACAAGTCATGCAATAGTGTAGCTGGAGAAATCTGTAGATGAAAACAGGCAACTCAAGTATAAATTTAGAAATTTTACTTTAAAAATGACTTTAACTTCTATTCTCATTTTCAAAGCAGACTTGTGTTCTCATTTTCAAATTGATAGTACAGTAATATTTTTTCTGTAGTGTTCTCAAAATGTATCAGATTATCTATTTTCAAATTTTTTTTGTCTTGTCAAGAGTTTACATTGTTATATTAAGATTCCCACCCTGATCTGAGGATAGTCCAGTTTAGTAGTGACTAGAAATGGGCAGATTCCAAAACATTGAATAATGAACTTGACAAAGCCCTGGCCGGGTTGATTTAGTTGGAATTGGTCCTGCCTAGAGCAGGGAACTGGACTTGATGACCTTCTGAGGTCTCTTCCAGTTCTATGGTTCTATGATTCTATGAACTAAAACTTTGTACAAACTCAAACTAACCCCAAAATGTCTGTGAATTGAAAAAGAGTCAAACATCTTCTAATGTTGATAGTGACTGAACTGGATCAGGTGTCCCAGATTCAATCTTCTGGCTTGTAGAACTGTATTAAAAACTCATCACATGAAATTTCTTCTTCTGGGGTTTGGAAAAAAAAAGAGAAAACTTTGGTCCATTTGCATGCACAAAGTGGTCTTTGTGTTCATAGTTTGGGTAATTGGCACATGTAAATAATTAAATGCACAATTACCCAATGTTTGCTGAAAATACTGATTTGTGTATGCAAGAATAGAGTTTTTAGGGTGCAACAGTCATGCAGTGTATGTTTTCTTAAAAATCAGAATCTTAGATTTTTTTCGTTTTTTTTCTTTTATATCACAGCTATGTTATGGCTTCTCTGACTATAACTAGATTCCAGATAAACTATATTTAAACAGACAAAAAAAGCAGGGAAGAAAGGAGAGAAAGCAGAAGAAGGAACAAAAGAAAGCTGTAGACAAAGTTGAAAATCCCTATTTTCAACAAAATAATTGTCATTGCTCCTCAGTTCATACTCAGGGATTAGTCTTCATTGCGATGCTTCATCCCAGGATGGATGTCTCAAATATTTGCAGTTCTGGCACAATTTAGTGGAAAATCATGGGGCCTTTAACCTCAACCTCACCAAAGAAGACTTAGCAGTGATCTTTTGCAGCTGACCTTGAAACTGGGTAAGAAATCAACTGAGCAAAGCAGATCAGACCTGTTTTCCAAGTTCCACTTATACCTGGTGCAAATGAAATCAAACTGAAGAATGAGATTTAATGGGAAATGTGTGAAAACCTCACCAAAATCTGCAGGTAAATCCTCTTATCTTCTCAGAATATTTCTAATCCATAGGAAAACTAGCACATACCATGAGTCAGCGCGCTGTACACAAGGTATCTGTAAAACTGACTAGGAAGATTTGTAAAATGATATCCAGGGTGGGGATGGAGGGAATGGATTTCAACCCCCCAGAGAGATAGGTCCAGGCGTTTGATTTAAAAGCATGAGTTCAGGGTTGGGTTGAAAAAGAAGCGTCTTTTGATTTCTGACTCAGAATGTGCTTAGGCAAGCAAGACCACTAGGGTTCCACAGTGATTTCTACAGCAATAGAATATTTTGGTAGATGTCGGCCAAATAACATCAATAAAACCTCATATCCGGGGTCAAAACTCCATCTCTATGAATAGTAATACACACATTTAGAAGTTTTCAGTATTTGAAAAGAGACTGGTGTTCCCAGATGTCATTATAAGCAGACGATGCCATCAATCACCTCTTCAGTAAATTATGGAGATTCAGAAAAATGATGCAAATGAACAGTATTTGGATTTTCTCTCAGCAGCTTTTATATTAAAAAAATATAGTAAGCCCAACTCAAATGAGAATATCCAATGAAAAGAAATAAGCTAAAATCTACAGCAATAGGATTTTGTGATACAGCATTATATGACTGACTTCAAGTTGAGAAAATTCATGCTTGCTCTGATGGACTTGGCCATTGGGAAGTTTCTCTTTAGCTCACCTGTTAGAAAAGTGCCAGCCAAAAATGGCGAGAAAGTAACACATTTCATACTAGAAATGTGAGACTCTTCTAGAGAGCTAAGTTTGCTTTAAATTCCAGCTCCTTGGACAAATAGTTCTTTGCCACACAGAAGGTGCAGTGATGGTTCCTTATTACTGGATACAAATCACATCCTTATAAAATTCAGTGGAAAAAAATCAGTCAGACCATGTGTCAGCCAGACCATTAGACTATTCTTAGGTTTTGAAACATTTGCCTGTTTGACTGAGAAAAGTTGAGGGATGATGTTGC